ACAAAAATTAGCCATCGGTGAGAGAGGAGTATCGGTACTCTAATGTGATTATTAATACCGATATCAATACTCTGAGAGTATGGGTACGAAAATGGTATACTGATATCCTTTTTTGCCAAAATCATAAAAGAAGTATCGGTATTGCATGAACAATATCAATATTGTTCTTGCAGTATTGGTACTGTAGGGTTTAAAATCGATTTTTGACTTGATTAAAATCCGAAACCCTTTGTAAAATTGTTTGAAAATTATTTATAGTATATGATTTTAATTTTCAAAAAGAGTAAGGAGTAAAAATGGAGTTTTTAACCTTAATAAGAATTTCAATATTCGAACAATTTAATTGAATATAAACTTAAAAATCAAATTGAAAATAATCCTAAAATTTCTTTAAAAATATTCATTTTTGGTATATCAAAATACAAAACATAGTTCAACAATCTCTCCCTTTTAATATAACAAAACCTTTGAAAAAAATTAAGATTTTTAAGATTTACCCCCTTACTTTAACATCTCTCTCCCTTTTTTGTTAAATCAAAAAGATGAAAAACTAGATAAACATATATATATATATATATATATATATATATATATATATCAATAGCCAAATGGATTAGTCAACATTAATAATATATTTAAGCAATAAATAGGGTCATAACGAAAAAGATAAACATGTCACAAATATAACAATCATCCAAATGTCAAAAAATTCTATAACAACATCCAAATAAGAAAATATCCATAATAACCAAATCCACAATCAAAATATGAAAAACTATCCAAATATCCAAGTATCAAACCCAAAAACAACTAAATATCAAAATACAATAATATCCAACAAAGTCTAAATGCAAAATCAAAACACAAGCAATACGACAAGCAGAGCATACAAAGAACGATCAAACATCCAATGGAGGAGGTTCATGATCTAAAGATAGAGCACGAAAAGAAGAAAATTTGTGAGAAAGCGCGTCAAGCCTATCGATCACGGTGTCGAATTGAGCATGGAAGTCACGTCGGGAGTCCACATACATCATCTCCAAAGATAATTATCATCTAGTAATCTCAAAAACCTAAGTCCCAAAGTTGTGAAGTGAGATTCCATGATAGTAAAACGCTTATCCATCATCTCCATGAAGCTCTATAAGTAGAGAGGAATCATATCCTCAACACCAACTCTAGGGGGATCGTCAGTGACGCGATTTATAGGATCATCTACATCGCACAAGACATCATCATTCTGAGGCTACGAAGCACTATAGAAGGACCCAGTTTCATGCTTTCCCTTTCTTGTCCAAGTCAGACTAACATTTTCCCATACCGACTTACGAAGAGATTTAAGGTCAATGAGAGAGGTCAAAGGAATAGTCGAATCTTGTTCAACATTTATACCAGCTTTGACAAAGAGACAACTAAGGATACAACCATAAACTAAGGTGTCAAACTTTTTGGATTAAAAGTTGTTTATGACGTCAACAAGCTTACCAAAGATGACTTGGGGAAAATTATTTGCTTGAATTCTTGGAAATAATAAATCTACCAAATGTTGACGACACAAAAAGTAGAGAACTTACCACCAGATGGTCGAAACCACTAAGTGATAATGAGATGTAAGAAACACTTATGAATATTGAGAGAATTGACACTATGACCAACCAAATTGGGAGACTCAATTTTATCTTTCTCATTATATATTCCTTTAACCTCTATATCTAAGTTTTAGGCTATGGAAGCGATATCGATATCAATGTATCCCCATAAGATAAAAACGAATGCTAACTATGCCTTATCGAGATTCATCATAGACATAAACAACATTAGAATAAAAGATACAAACAAGCTATTGATAAAGAATTGGATTAATCTTAAAGGTGTTGACTAGTTTTCAAGAAAAGAGTTGCGGAAGTTATTTGAATTTAAGTCCGTGCATGGGTTTAAGGGAGGACATACACTCACCCCTAAGAGGTAAATAATCAAACTAAGTCGAGTATCGATGCCTATGGTTTTGACGACCCGATTCATTAAAGCAAGAATTATGGATGGTAAGAGCATTTAGGTCTGGCTTTGGGTTAGGAATTGGATGAGGAAGTGTATTTAGAGGATGATTTGGAGGAGGGGTGATTGTGTGTATAAGTGTGTGTTGTGGCATGCAATTTTGTGCAAGTATACATAATTGAAGCAAGTAATATTATAGTAAATGAGTTATCATCTCCATAGGGATTGATGAGAAATTTTGATGATTACTATAGTTAGAACTAGGTGTCACTAAATAGTCCTAAGATTATTGTCTAATGGTATTCACAAAGGAAAAACAAGTAGTAGTAAACAGATGGAAAAAAGGTATGGCCGAGGCAAGAAAAATTGTAAAGTGAAGTGAGCAAAATTTTTTTGTCATGGCGAGAAATTATGGGAAGGTAAATAAATAAAAGTTGTCAAGGTAAAGAAAAATGTTTAGTTCAATATATTCTGAAAAACCTTACATAATCATACCTTTAATGGAGCAATTGGGTTGGATTCGCTGCGGTAAGAAATTATTTTATGTCTAGGATGATTTAGTATGTTATGCCTATGCCGCCCTACAAGATTTACTAGAGTGTTCCTAGAACTTTTGCTACAGTAATACTACCCAGCGTGAACTGCAGCCCTTGGTTTGTCAAATTATTGCTGTGGCAGCTTATCTACTCAAATATTTACCCTTTTTAGTTGGATGAAACCCTCTCCTTATCTCTAAGGCAGATTAGAACCTCACCATCCCGGATTAGTTCATTTGTTCACGTATATCTGATCTAACTATTTCAAAAGCTCTTACAGTGCCAAGGCAAAAGATTAAAATAGTAAACAAAGCAACATTCAACAAAAACATACTTAATCATTCATTAACAATCGAATAAAGTATCATTCAAGCATTTCCAACACCAAATAAAATAGTTTATGGTGTGGTAAACATCATCCCAAAAATAATATTTAAATACAAGCCCTTAAATGATATGGAAATGAAGAACAAGAGGAAGAAAACCTCCCAGAACAAAGCTATGTCATGACATCAGACCACCTTCATGACTACTCCAGCGGTCAGCCACTTTTGATGGCCTGGCCACTGCTCTTGTGAAACCTGGCTATGGGGGTACCAAGGACAGTCGAGTGGGGGACGGTGGTAAAGGATGTGCTATAGTTGTCTTTCTCCAAACTTTACTTTTAGGGTATGTTCTCTCCTCTCCCAATTAGGGTGGTATAATGAGATACTTATAGTGAGAATTTCTAGGGTTAGTTCCCTTGGAAATTCCCTAAATGCCCTTGGTTTCATGCCCATTGTGTGAATAATATGACATCTGGTAGTGGTGCCAAATTCCTTAACAGAGGCATGGTTTCACATGAGGTGTATTGGATGACTAGCCAAGTGACGTCAGTAGTTTCGTCTTGTGTTGCCTCAGACTTGTGAGATAAAAACTCACATTGGCAAGAAAATTTGTTCCTCATTGTCGTCATCTTCTATTCCACTGGCCCTAGCAAATTAATTTGTCTCGACAAATAAATTCAGTCATTTCCTACATCATCACAACCAACAAACAGTCATTCTCCTCAGTAGCATCAGTTCAGTCAAATAAACTTTGTCTCGACAAAACATATCCACCACATGTAAATATGTCCTAAATGCAACTATATGCAGCTAAAATGCTATGTCAATGGCTTTTAGACAATCAATAACTTAAGTAAAAAAAACCTAAAATATAGTCTTTTTACGGAGTTATCACACCCTCAAACTTAAGCTATTGATGGTCCTCAAGCAATGGATAATGAGCAATAGAAACATAAAGTGTCAAGGCAACGTATAAATTAGGACAATCAAGTGGTTTAAAATTTCAGCCCTCAGCAACAAGTTTGGCCTCAACATGCTAGATTGAATTAGAAATCAAGCACATTTCCTTAGGTCAGGACTCTTTGTCAGTGTGAGTTTGTGATTGCATCTAATATATGCTTAATGAATTTAGAAAACTCCTAAGTAAGTTCTTTTGTTTTGTCAAGGCATCAAATTATTCATTAAGCATATCTTCATTCCTATTTATTCAACATGTAATTTTAATATTTTTTCAACACTGCTTCAAGGGGAGTCATCTCATCACACCTACCGCCCGACACTCTAGGTGAAAGGGAGCATACCTTCGACCCCCCGAGCTAGTCAGGTAGAGTCATCCCATGCCTGCTTTCATTCACTCATGTGCCAAGGCTATCATTTATGTAAGAGGGTTTCCAGGTAATGTCGTCGCACAGAGGAGTGTCCCTCTACAGTTATGTCGAGACCTTTATTTGTAATTCAACAAATTTCAAAATGCTAAGGAGTTCAACTTAATCTTTTCTATCATTTTATGCCACAACCCAAAAAAGTTCTATCCTAAAAATTTTCTAAGTACCTTAAGCATAGAAAACATACAATCGTGTTAACAGGATCACAAAGAATCAAATCCTAAGGTTGGTTCTATCATTCTAAAATGTCATGTACAATAATTCTGGCCTAGGCAATAAAAATTTTCATCATCGGGCATCCTTAATTCATTCCAAGCAACTATCCTAATCATAACTCATGCCATGATAAAAAAAAAAAATTCTAATAATCATTGTCAATGCAATTAACTAAGTCTGAAACACAACACATCCCCCAAACTTGAGGGATGCATTATCCTCAAAGCTTGAAAATGAAAGCAAGTTAAATTACTCTAAAATGCTATGCAAATGCAAATGTAAAGAGGTACCTCATTGTGGTGGTTCAATTCTACTGGACGCTCAGGTTTGGCATTGCTTAAAAGGAGGGGCTAGCAGATTCGATTTTGTCTAAGGGTTATGGTGATTGAGGTGAAATATCAACATGACCAGTTGAGCGTTTGATACAAGGCCTAGTCCTGGGAGGATTATCTTGTAGTGGCATCTACTCGGTGGGTGAAATATCAGCAGGTGTATTCAAGGGATGGCTAACTAAAAATATTTTTCCTGGGTAAAAAAAATGTTCAGGGAAGAGAAGCAAACTCTTGGGAATCATGGAGTAGCAACTCCGATTTGTCACGCAGGATTGGTGCTCTGTTGTACGCCTTCAATCTTTGACCATTCACCTTAAAAGTTGTCCCATTATCCAAGTTTGTTATTTCTATTATACCATGGCTATGCACTTGATGTACTACGAAAGGACCTGACCACCTGGATTTCAGCTTGCCTAGAAACAACTTGAGCCTTGAGTTGTAGAGTAGTACTTATTGGCCTGGAAAAAATTACCATGGCAAAATTTTTCTGTCGTGCCACTTTTTTCTTCTTTTCTTTGTAGAGATGGGTGTTTTCATATGCTTGAGCTCTAAATTCTTCCATCTCATTTAGCTCCAACAACCTCCTTTCTCCAGCAAGCTGTGCATCCATATTGAGTTTCTTGATGTCCCAAAATGCCTTGTGTTCTAGTTCCACGGGCAAATGACATGATTTTCCATAAACTAACTTGAATGGAGACATCCCTAGTGGCATTTTAAATGTTGTACGATAAGCCCACAGTGCCTCATCGAACTTTGGTGACCAATATTTTCTTATTGGGTTGACCACCTTCTCAAGTATTTGCTTGATCTCATGGTTAAAGACCTGAGCTTGTCCATTAGTCTGGGGGTGGTATGCCGTGGCAATTTTATGGCATACCCCATATCTTTGCAATGCATTGGTAATTAATTTATTGTCAAAGTGGGTGTCTTAATAACTGATAATTACTCTTAGAACTCTAAAACTTGTGAATTTGTTTTTGTGCAAGAATTTTAGCACGGTCTTGGAGTCATTTCTAGGTGTTGCCACGACCTTAACCCATTTGGATACATAGTCCACAACTAAAAGTATGTACAGATCACCGAATGACGATGAGAAAGGTCCCATAAAATTGATTCCCCATACATCGAAGAGTTCAACTTCCAAAATATTTTGCCATGGTATCTCATTTCTCTTAGATATATTCCCAGTGCATTGGCAATGAACACATGACTTATAAAAGTCTTGTGCATCCTTGAATAAGGTGGGCCAGTAGAAGCCATATTGGAGGAACTTTGCATCAGTCCCCACCCACCAAATTGCTCTCCACACAGAGATGTATGACAATGGAATATGATCTCCTTGTGTTCTTCTTCGGGGACATACCTCCAAATTATTTGATCTTCACATTGCTTAAATAAGAAAGATTTATCCCAATAATAATGGCGTACATCATGTCTAAACTTTTTTCGGCCCTGGTAAGATAAATCTGGAGGCATAATGCCACTAACTAGAAAGTTAACTATGTCAACATACCACAGTGCTGCCGCGACAAATAAAATTTTTCTCTTCAAGGAATTCCTCTTGAATTTATTTCATGTCATGGTAAATGTTTTTGTTCTCTAGCCTAGACAAGTGATCTAATACTTGGTTCTTGGTACCCTTCCTATCTTTCACTCTAAATCAAATTCTTGCAGCAAGAGTATCCATCTAATAAGCCTAGGCTTGGCATCCTTTTTATTCACTAGGTATTTAATGGCTGAGTGATCAGTGTGTAGAATGACCTTGGTGCCTATATGGTATGCCCTAAACTTCTCAAAAGTGAATACTATGGCAAGCAATTCTTTTTCAGTGGTGGTATAGTTAAGTTTTGCATCATTTAGGGTATGGCTAGCATAATAAATGACATGAAAGATTTTACCTTTTCATTGCCAAAACATTGCCCCTATTGCGTAGACATTTGCGTCTCACATCAACTCGAAAGGGGCGTCCCAGTAAGGTGGAATAACAATTTGTGTCGAGGCATATTTTTTCTTCAGATTCGTGAACGTACTGAGACATTCATCATTGAACACAAACGACTGATTCTGTTGTAGCAAAAGACATAAAGGCTTTGAAATCTTTGAAAAATCTTTAATGAAACGCCTAAAGAATCCTACATGCCCTAGGAAACTTCTTATTCCCTTCACAGTGGTGGGTAAAGAAAGATTCTCAATCACTTTCACCTTGGCTTTATCAACCTCGATACCGCAGTGAGAAATTTTGTGTCCCAACACAATTCTTTCTGTCACCATAAAGTGACATTTATCCCAGTTTAGCACAAGGTTGGACTCCTCAAATTGCTTCAGCACTTTAGATAAATTGTTGAGGCATCGATCAAAGTCATCACCCGAGACAGAAAAATCATTAGTGGTTATTTCTGGTGCCATGATTCCAGGGTTGATATCATTGAGAATAGGGTTTAAATAATCTCTTATTGCTCTTAGTCTTGGCATATTTCAAGGAACATTATTTGTCGCGACATTGGGATCTACCTGATCCTCTATAGGGTTATCAGTATGATATGGAAGTTGATTCATATTACCTCTGGCACGCATCTGGACAATTGCTCAATCTCAGGTTCAATGACTATTAATGGTTTATCAACAGATCTCATGGTCATACAACGAGAAAAACCTACAAAAACAAATAAGAAAAACAAACAGGTAAAACTTACTAAGTAAAAATATGTGACAAGAAAATAAAAGTTGCTATGGCAAAAAATATCAAAATTCCTCCAATTATCAATCCCCGAAAACAGCACCAAAAACTTGATCGCGTGTATAAGTGTATGTTGTGACATGCAATTTTGTGCAAGTATACATAATCAAAGCAAGTAATATAGTAGTAAGTGAGTTATAGTCTCCATTGAGATTGGTGGGAATTTTTTATGATTTCTATAGCTAGAACTAGGTGTCACTAACTACTCTTATGATTCTTGTCTAATGATATTCACAAAGGTAAAACAAGTAGTAGAAAAAAGATGGAAAGGTATGGTCGGGGTAAGAAAAATTGTAAAGTGAAGTAAGCAGAAAAGTTTTGCCGTGGCGAGAAAAAATTCTAAGGTAGACAAATAAAAGTTGTCAAGGCAAAGAAAAATGTTTAGTTCAATATATTCTGAAAAATCTCACACACTCAGACCTCTAACGGAGCACTTGGGTTGGATTCTCTACGGGAAGAAATTATTCAATGTCTCAGATGATTTAGTATGTTATGCCTACCCTTCCCGACAAGATTTACTAGAGTGTTCCTAGAACTTTTGCTACGGCAATACTACCCAACGTGAACTACAACCCTTGGTTTGTCAAACTGTTGTTGTGGCAATACCACTCAACGTAAACTGTAGCTCTAGCCTATCTACTGAAGCATTTACCCTTCCTAGTCGAATGAAACCCTATCATTATCTCTAAGGTAGATTAGAACCTCACTATCCCAGATTAGTTCCTTTGTTCACGTAGATCTAACCTAACTCTTTCGAATATTAGGTATCAACTCCTAGAAAAATGGAAATCTTTCAAAAGCTCTTACAAAGACTGGGAATGTTTTGTTGTGGCACTAGACAATTTTTCAAAAGCTCTTACAGTTCCAAGGAAAAAAATTAAAAAACAACATTAAAAAAACATACAAATCATTCATTAACAATCGAATATAATATCATTCAAGCATTTCCAGCACCAAACAAAATAGTTTATGGTGTGGAAAACATCATCCTAAAAATAATCTTTAAATACGAGCCCTTAAATGATATAGAAATGAAGAACAAGAGGAAGAAAAACTCCCAGAATAGAGCTCTACCGTAACATCAGACCACCACCATGATTGTTTCAGCGGTCAACCTCTCTCGAGGGCTTGGCTGCTGCTCCGGCGAAGCCTGGCTATGGAGGGAACCATGGACAGTTGAGTGGGGATGGTCACTTTTAGGGTATGTTATCTTTTCTCCCCTTTTGGGTGGTATAATGAGATATTTATAGTGGGAATTTCTAAGGTTTAGTGGCCTTAGAAATTTCCAAAATACTTTTGGTTTCAAGCCAATTGTGTGAAAATATGGCATCTAGTAGTGGTCCCAAATTCCTTAGCAGGGGCATGGTTTCACATGAGGTGTATTGGACAGGTGGCCAAGTGACGTCAGCAGTTTCCTCTTGTACTGCGTAAGACTTGTGAGATAAAAACTCTCATTAGCAAGAAAATTTGTTCCTCATTGTCGTCATCTTCTATACTACTGGTCCTACCAAATTAATTTGTATTAGCAAATAAATTCTTTCTCAGTAATTTCTTACATAATCACAACTAACAAATAACCCTTCTCCTCAGCAGCATCATTTTAGTCAAATAAACTTTGCCTCGAAAAAACTTATCCATCACATGAAAATATGTCCTAAATGCAACTATATGTAGCTAAAATTTTATGTCAATGGCTTTTAGACAATCAATAACTTAAGTAAAAATACCTAAAATATAGTCTTTTTACGGAGTTATCAAGGGGCCCGGGGTGGAGGAGGGTTTCGTGAAGACGAGGACGCTTAAACATGTTTGGATATAAATTGGGATAGATAAACCTACAAAAATAAAGCAATGTATGTTTATGCTAACATCAATTCCAAGACTCATATAGAGTCCGCAATAATCAAGGTAATAAAAAAATTTAAAGAAAACTAAAGGGGAAAACAATATGTAAAAAACATTATATATGTATATAATTAAAATGTTATGTATTTATAAATAAAACAAATAACTGTATATGTAAATAATATGTATATTATATAAAATATAATGTATATATGATAAGTAAAAACAATAAAAAATAATATATACAAAAAATATGAAAAAGTATATATATGTATATATTAATCGGTATGTATATATAAATCAATTTATTTCAAAATAAATCTATATATATATATAATGTAAGTTTTTAGGAAAAATCGGTAGATAATGGTGCAAAAATGCTATGCTTGACAAGCCCATACATCAATTTGAACAAATCTAACATATAAGTACCCAAAATTTGAAAAAAAAACTTAGGGTTTTTGAAATTTTTTACCTTGAATCAGGAAATGAGATGAAAATGATGAATGCAACACGATTTGATGATGTTTGCAGGTACTATAGTTGAATAACAATGGGATTTCGACCTAAAAACGACGAGAAACGATGAAGATTTAAGAGAGGGGTTAAGGAGTTTTAGATGAATTCTACTTTAGGGTTAAGAGGGTTTTGACAATTTTGAGAGGTATAACCCTTACTCGACCCCGAGTATCAGTACTCATTAATGAGTATCGATACTCACGTACAAAAAGAGTTGGTATTGATACTCCTAACGATACTAAAAAAACCAATATCGGTACTTTATGAAAAACATCGATACTGACAAAGAACAATATCAGTACTGTAAGTACAATGTCGATACTAAATGCAAGAAATGATCAAAAAAATCAAGCAATTAAGTCCTAAAATGTCATTTTTATAAAAAATTAAACACACACATCATATATGACCATTTGAGACATAAAATTATGACCAATATATAAGCATTCATTTATTCATTCATTCAAGGTTTAATCAACAAAAATACCTATGAATGCTAAAGTTGCATGAATTTATAAGTTAAAGTGCACCAAAAATGTCAAAAGTCATAATGCAGAAAATAGTGGATAAAAAATGGTATAAACAACTCTAAAATGACAAGGAAAACATGTTCAAACAAACAAATATACATTCAAGCATAATTTGATTTTTTTTTTCAATTTTAATGAAAAATCCTAAACTCCCCCTAACTAATTACATAGTAGGCATAAAATATTTAAACACAAAGTAAAGGTACGTTTGTTAAACCTAATTATCTTCTAAGTGCCAAAAATCTCTCCTTATCTAAAGGTTTTGTAAAAATATCTGCTACTTGATGCTAAGTGTCTAAATACTCTAGAACTATATCTTCCAAAATCTCACAATCCTTGACATAGTTCTAATCCCTTGGGCAGGAGACTTCCCTTTCCTATAGAGTTAGCTCCTTAAGAGCATCTTGTTTTTGTTCATGCATTTACTCTTTAGATGATGGTTCACCAATTTTATTTGATGTCATAATACCTTCATCATCATCAACACAAGAATCATTCCTTGGAAAGGGGTTATCATCGAAAACAACATAAATAAACTCTTCTACAACTAGAGTTTTTTTATTAAAGACTCAAAAAGCTTTAGAATTCATGGAATATCTGAGGAATATTCTTTCATCACTTTTAGCATCAAATTTGCCAAGATTGACTTTTTCATTGTTTAAAACAAGACACTTACACCCAAAAGGATAAAAATAACTAATGTTAGGCATTTTATTTTTAAAAAGTTAGTTTGAAGTTTCCTTCAAAATAGGCATAATCATTACTCTATTTACAATATAATAAGTGGTGTCTGTGGGTTCTGTCCAAAAATATTTTCCAAAATTATTTTCACAAAACATGGTTTTAGCCATTTCCTCTCAACAAATCTATCTTGTTGAGGGGTTCTAAGGGCTAAAAAATTATGGCTAATTCCATTAGAGTTACAAAATTCGTCAAAGCCAAGATTTTCAAATTTAGTTTCATGGTCGCTCCAAACACTAGAAATCGAGTAACCTTTTTAATTTTGTTTATTTTTTAAAATATGATGAATTTGTCTAAAGCTTTATCTTTAGTGTTTAAAAGTAGAACACATGTGTATCAAGAATAATCATCAACAATTAGAAAGGAATATTGTTTTCCACCAATGCTAGTGGTCATAATAGGCCCAAATAAATCAATATGAATTAATTGTAACACTCTACTAGAGGAAACATCATTAATGCATTCATAGGAAGCTCTTTTATGCTTACCCTTAGCATAGGCATCACGGATTTTGTCTAAATTAATTTTTAGCTTGTTAAACCTTTAATTATACCACCTCTAACAAGATTATCTAATATGCTCATGCTAGTGTCACGGGCTGTGAGCCCATGATTGAGGTCGTCGCAACACAAAGAGCCCAAGACTACTTGGTTGGCATTTTAGGCCTTCCCACATCCATTCATTCAAGGTTTAGTCAACAAAAATACCTATGAATGCTAAAGTTGCATGAATTTCTAAGTTAAAGTGCACCAAAAATGTCAAAAGTCATAATGCATACAATAGTGGATAAAAAATGGTATAAACAACTCTAAAATGACAAGGAAAACATGTTCAAACAAACAAATATACATTCAAGCATAATTTGAACATTTTTTTTAAATTTTAATGAAAAATCCTAAACTTCCCCTAACTAATTGCATAGTAGGCTAAAAATATGATTTTCATATATTTCCTAAAGTTCTATTTTGTTCATTTTTTTTCAATTTTAATGAAAAATCCTAAAGTTCTATATTTCCTCTCAACAACTCCTTTTTGTTGAGGGGTTATAAAGGCTAAAAATTATGGCTAATTCCATTAGAGTTACAAAAGTTGTCAAAGCCAAGATTTTCAAATTCAGTTTCATGGTCGCTCCAAACCCTAGAAATGGAGTAACCTTTTTAATTTTGATTTATTTTTAAAATATGATGAATTTGTTTAAAGCTTCATCTTTAGTGTTTAAAAGTAGAACCCATGTGTATCAAGAATAATCATCAACAATTAGAAAGGAATATTGTTTTCCACCCATGCTCGTGGTCCTAATAGGCCCAAATAAATCAATATGAATTAATTGTAACATTCTACTAGAGGAAACATCATTAATGCATTCATATGAAGCTCTTTTATGCTTACCCTTAGCATATGCATCACGGATTTTGTCAAAATTAAATTTTAGCTTTGTCAAACCTTTAACTATACCACCTCTAACAAGCTTATCTAATATGCTCATGCTAGTGTCACGGGCTGTGAGCCCATGACTGAGGTCGTTGCAACACAAAGAGCCTAAGACTACTTGGTTGGCATTTTGGGTCTTCCCACATCCATCCATTCATTCATTCAAGGTTTAATCAACAAAAATACCTATGAATGCTAAAGTTACATGAATTTCTAAGTTAAAGTGCACCAAAAAATGTCAAAAGTCATAATGCATACAATAGTGGATAAAAAATGGTATAAACAACTCTAAAATGACAAGGAAAACATGTTCAAACAAACAAATATACATTCAAGCATAATTTGAACATTTGTTTTTCAATTTTAATGAAAAATCCTAAACTCCCCTTAACTAATTGCATAGTAGGTATCAAAGAAGTTATTTATCATGCTTTTTTTAAAAAAAAAACATAAAACCATATAAAATATTTAAACACAAAGTCAATGTACGTTTGTTAAACCTAATTCTCTTCTAAGTGCCGAAAATCTCTCCTTATCTAAAGGTTTTGTAAAAATATATGCTACTTGGTGCAAAGTGTCTAAATACTCTAGAACTATATCTTCCTTTAAAACATGATCTCTAATGAAATGAAGTCTAATTTCATTATGCTTAGTTCTAGAATGTTGGATGAGATTTTTGGTGAGATAAATAGAACTAGTATTGTCACAATTGATAGAGATAGTACCTACATCAGATCCATAGTCTATTTGTTTCATTCTTAACACTTGAGCATAACAACTACCGACCGAAATATATCCCGCTTTGGTGGTTGATAATGTTACATTATTTTGTTTATTTGAAATCCATGAAATCAACATACTACCTAAGACTTGGCAAGTATCAGACGTGCTTTTCCTATCTAATTTTCAACCTCTATAATCTGCATCTGAGAAGGCATACATGATGAAATTAGTGTCTCTACGATACCAAAGGCTTATGCTAGAAGTATCTTTAAAGTATCTAAAGATTCTCTTAATGGCTTGTAAATGTCTTTAGGGCATGATTGAAATCTAGCACATAAGCAAACACTAAACATAATGTCCAATTTACTTTCGATAAGATAA